ACAAATGATTTGCATTTTTATGCATTCTTTTAGCATGGATCATCACGACTTTCTTTGGTATTCATGAGGTTGCAATTTGTGTATTTCCATAATTACCTCATCATATTCCCCATTAGATAATGGACCAAGGGCATAAAACACCAAGCAGAATTCAAAAGCAGCATTGACTCTCTGCTCCACTGAGAGGCTGAATGTCCCTTGTCCTTGAAGCAGAGCTCAAAGGAAAGCCCTGGCAAAGGGCTCTGCCCCAGCATTGGCTGAGGCTTGAAGGTAAAAATAAAATTTTAAATCATTTAAAAAAAATAATAATCAGTGTTTGATCATTACAGCCTCTGGGAGTTTCCCTCCTCACCCTGAGTGCATTGACACATTCTCTGCACAGCCCATGTGAACTAAAGAGGATTGTACCACATGTGTGACAAGCTAAGAAAGCTCAACAATTTCAATTCCATGGCTCTTAAAGCAGGACACAAGTGAGAGCTGAAGAAGCAGAACCAGCTTGGACAAACAGTCCCCCATGCCAGGACACTGTCACCACACCCCCTAAGGGACAGTTTGCATCCCAAACCCACCCAAACCACACAAGTAACTCACTGGAAGGAGGGGGAGGAAGGAAGGGAGATGAATTTCATGTACATGGAAACCTTTTTGTACACTTAGAAGTGGAGATGAACAGATTTAAAATTAACTGGCTGAGTTCACTGCTGGGCAAGTGATCTGAAATGGCCAATAAATAATTTATGCCAGCACCATCCATCACGGTGCAGCCTGGCTGGTGACACTGCCCACGTCGGGGCTCGCTTGGTGAAGAGAGACAACTTAATTCAGCACAAAGTGAACAACCCAAAATCCCATCAATGATTCATTGCTGGATTAAAAGCTAGAGATTCCTCCATAAATTTCTCTGCCCTGCATTAAATATGCAGATGATTGTGTGATGTTTATTAACTACTGGATGGCTTAGTTAAGGATGACACCGGCTCTGGTACCTTTGAAGCCATGAATCTTCATTAGATGTGCATTTAAGCATGAAAAGGGGTTACCTTCCAGGATTCAGTGTTCACTTACATCAGTAGAACTACAGAATATGTATATGAGATAAAATAGTCAGGCCTTAGTATACTTTGTTTTAGAAAACATAAATATAGACAGGAATTATATCTTAGTTTGTATTACCTACCACGCCCCTCTTCTCCTAGGTATTATAAAATACCAAGCCACCAAAAAAACCCAAAATACACGTCCACTAAATTTTCCTTTTTTTCTAGATACTTTAAAAAAGAAGCTGCATTTTGAAATAGTCAGAGAATATTCTGCCTCTTTTCTTATAAATTAAAAAAAATATATATATTTTTGAGAAGTGGTAGATTTCCCTTCCCCTTGTAGAAGGGTCAGGGCTTGAAAGACTAAAAAATGGCAATGAACTTTTACCAGAAATAATTTCCCAACAACTTCCTCCCCAGCCCTTCCACTGGTATTTGCACATTTCAATTTGCCTCTCTCTTCCCAGTGTCCTCACGATCCTTCCTGTCTCAGTTTCAAACTACCTGGAGCTCTTTAGCTGAGGTTAGAAAAGAAGTCCTGTGAGGAGAGGCTGAGGGAGCTGGGGGTGTTTAGCCTGGAGAAAAGGAGACTCAGGAGGGACCTTCTTGCTCTCAGCACCTCCCTGCAAGGAGACTGTGGCCAGGTGGAGCAGGAAATCAAAAACAGGACAAGAAATGGTACCAAGCTGCATCAGGGAAGGTGCAGATTGGACATCAGGAAGAATTTCTTCACTGAAAGCACAGTTGGTCATTGGAAGGGCTGCCCAGGGAGGTGGAGTCCCCATCCCTGGAGGTGTTCAAGGATCTGTCCCCCAGTGCTCTGGTGTGGGTGACAAGGTGGGGATCAGTCATGGGTTGGACTCGATGATCTTGGAGATCTTTTTGAACCTCATTGATTCTGTGACTCTGCACTACAGGGTGAGGAAATGAGGGTGAGAAGATGAGGGTGAGAACATGAGGGTTGTCTGTGGGAAGCCCCACTCCAATCTCAGTGTTCCTCTTAGCTCCTAAACACTCTCCAAAGAGATTCCCTGGAGGGCTCCTTGCCAAGACCCCCGTCCTGCTGGATGGCCGGAGGGAGTGAGGCTGAGATGAGCTCTGGCTTTGTTTAGGGCTGACATTTCCTTTCCCAGGTCACTGCTTCCACAGTGTGACTGCAGGAGCTGCTGAGTCTTGGGGTTTGTGTTTTAAATTAGCAAGGGAAACCAAAACCACCCTGCTCCCAGCTGGGCTTAGACGGCAGCGGGAAGAGGAAACCAAGAACTGCATGGTCATCCCAGCACCAGGAGCACCAGAAAACCAGGGGTTTGCTGAGGCTGGCAGGAAATTGTGCTGCTGGAGGCCACATGAGCCAGAGCTCAGTGTGCTGAAGCATTCCCTGGAGCCATGAGCTCGGCCCATGACTCCTGCCTGGGACCTCCATGGTCACTGGAGGAGGCTGCAGTGATTCTGCTCGGTGTCAGCAAATCTGCATCACCTTTACAGCCTCTCCTCATCTCTCCAGATGTTTCTCTGCTCAGTCTCTGCAGCTCAATTTTGCCATCTGCTGTCATGTCTGTGGCAGCACGTCCCATTTCCTCTTTCTACCAGACTAAAATTTTCCACTTTTTCATGCATTCATCTCACACTGTGTGGTTATCTCTGTTCTTTCCCTAAGTCCCATGATGCTATTTATTCTTATTTCTAATTTCCTATGTACTCAGACACATTCTTCCCTTCTGCTTGCTCTTTCTTAAGCCCCAATTACATTTCACCTTTGAAACCAAGAGATTTATTCATATTAACCTTAAAAAATGCCTAGAAAAGCACATTAAGGCTAAGAAACAAACCTGGAAACATAATGAAATGTGCTGCTGAGATGGAAAGGGACCATGAGAACAGTCAGCTCCCATAAAGTCTATTAAGAGAGGTCTCTTATTAATCTCAAAATGATATTTAATTCATTCCTCTGGTTTCTCTTTAAAGGGTTTGTATTCCTAACTCAGCACTTGCCTTTCTTTTTTTATTTCCTCCTGTTTCCTCATTAGTCAACCCCATATCCCAAAATATTCAAATCTCCCTTTTTAATTGCTTTTCTGTACCTCCTCCATACTAATCTGGCAGTTCAGTCATTATCTCCTCACGTCAGACCTCCTTTACCCTCTCTAATCAGTCATTTTGATACAGACAATTGTCCACAAAGTACTGGGGACCAGTAAAAATTATTACTTGGACCAAAAGCTAAATCCTCCATTAATTAACCGCCTTGCTCCACAGAGCCAAGCCAGGCTCTCCAGATATAACATTTGGGCTTGACATGGACCCTAAACAAATTAAAACCTGCTTTGCTCTGCCCCAGGCTCCCTGTGCAAGTCCATAAGTGCTGAGATAACTCCAGCAGCTCCAAGTGCTGGGGAGGGGCTCAAACCTGGGTAATTTTAGCTCGTGGTGCTTGGCACTTTGAGAGGTGGTGGGAGGCCAGGATGGAGGGACTGCAGCTTTGGGGAAAGGCAGGGTGGTTTTAAAGCAAATGGCTTTGTTCCTGTGTCCTCTGTGTATTGCTTTAATCTGTTACCAGAGAGGTTTTTAGCTACAGTGCCCTATCTGAACTCAAGTGTTTTTTTTTTTTTGCCTTCAAGGTAAAAGTCTTAAAAATAAAGGCCAACATTTCCAGATGCCAATGACATCCTCTCCCTCAGCCTTTTCTTTCCAAAAACTTGCTGCTTTCATCCAGCTTTTCTCCACTAAACCCAGAGACTGCATTCTGGGCTTCTGTTGCTTTTGGAAAGCAGCATTTCCTCCAGCTACATTTAAAAGGCTCACTTTAACCTTTCCCTAAACACACTGACAGCCCCAGTCCCCACAAATAACTCCAATGAATTTTCATTTAAACACAAACCTCCCCAAATCCTTGCCTCCAATTGCCATCCTAAACCCAAAGCTCTGCCTCAATAATTGGGCTGAATAAAATGATAAAAAAGAATGCTCAGTGGTATAAGTTACACTTACAGCTTCCCTGCAGCTTCTCGGGGCTCTATTTCCACATGGCTGATCAGATCAAACTCACTTTGTTGGCTCCCATCTCTTCTCCCCTTGTGCAACTCCCCAAAACCAGGGGCTTTTAAGTCCAGCCAGCACCACAGCAAATGTGCTAGAACCTTCCCAAGTGAGAGCCAGCTCTGCTGTAATGAAGTCATTAGTGAGGAGCTAATTAGTAAGAGCAAAAGGATTGGCCCAACTCTGCCAATTGGAAGCTGCAATGGAGATATTGTTGACTTAATTAGCAGGTTTAATTGGGTGGGGGAAAAAAAAGCAAAAAGGAAAAGTTTGTGTTTTTCAAAGGACTACATCAAAACTGTTTGGGATTTTCTTTTTGGCTTGTTTCCTTTCATTCCTCCCAGGTTTGTGTGGGATTCATGGCTAGAAGTGAGAGATGCCAGGTCCCTGTGCTGGGGTGGTGACAATCACAGTCACTGTGTGGGACAGTCACAGTCACTGTGTGGGACAGCCACAGTCACTGTGTGGGACAGCCACAGCCACTGGGGTGGGACAGCCACAGTCACTTGGGTGGGACAGACACAGTGACTGGTGTGGGACAGACACAGCCCCAGCTGAGCACACCCAGCCTGGGAGCCCACAGGCCATGTCCCGAAATGGGACATTTCGGGATTTGTCCCGAAATCACTGCTGCAGGATATGTGAGGAGCCCAGGGGATTATGCAACATCTCTGCAGATCATCCATCAATGATCCCACCCTCTATGGACAACCCCTTTCCTTAACAGATTTAGAAATGAGTGGTTTGTAGGGCCAAGGTAGAGAAATTCCCCTCTAGGTTGGTCTTCTGGGCATTCTCCCACCTCTGCAGTATTGCTGCAGTATTTCTTTGGAGAGCTGAGAGAGCCCACCAGTCATTTCCACACCTGGGAAATACCTAACTCCTGTTGAAATGCCTTAGGATGTGGCATAAAAAGTCCAATTGCCAGCAAAAAAATTACAGAATTTATTAACATATTCTCCAAGGGTTATTCAAACATGCTGAATCACAGGCAGTAGTGATACCCCTTAAGTAATCTGCATTTTTGATTTAAATTGACAGTATTCTTGTTGCTTAATTTTTCTGTTGATTACATAAAAGCATTAAAATCTGTATTTTACGATTCCTTTTCTTTCTTCATGGCAATTTGAAGATAGGCAGCCTTCCATGTGATCTCTTCTGTTCCTCAGAGTACAAGTTGTATTCAAGGAAGAGCATTAGTAAAAATGGAGAAAAACAAATTCAATTGTGCAACATGTGATAGTAAGAAGGCAGATGCCAGAAGCATCCATGAATAATGCATAAAGCCCCTTCTCAAATAAGCTTCTTTATGCAGTGAGTTTTAAGGGTGATATGGGAAAATTTGCACAAAGATTTTAAATTTTCATGGTTGAAGCTTTGGCCTTTGTTTTTTACCCGCTGATATTTTGAGGGCTCACAAGTATCTCTCATGCAGCATGGATCAGGCCCTTTTTATTTCCCATGGCATCTGCAGGTGATGTAGGAGCTCTTCACAGGGAAAAAATGTTGTTTTCTCCTTCAGCACCACTGAAAGCTTTGTCAGTCTCTTCTGGTGGTCCAACACTGCAGTGAGAAGCACAGATCACTGTGGATGGGGAAAAAGGACATTGCTGCTCCAGAGCATTCTATTTTATTTGTAACATCAGCAAATTCCCATGGGAATGGAAACCTGAAGCTACTGAGCACAGTGATTGCAATGAAGTAACTCCTACTTTTTACAGCAGGGAGGTATTTACCTGGCTTGCATCCTTCTCATGTATAGGGAAGGGTTGTTTGAACCCTGTAATGGCAGCTGCAGGGTAACCACCATGGGATTCAGAAAAGAGTCTGCCCCAGCCCCTGTCTCCCATGTAGAGCAAGCAGTGGAGGAGCAGCTACCACTGACAAATTATTGGCCTTTGGAAAAGGGGTGATGGATTTTTTATTATTTTTTTTCAAGATAAGCCAGAAGATATGAACTTATCAATCACATTTGCACAAGGTATCGTGTCCTGGTACTCAATCAAAAATAAAAGCAGATGAAGCACTACCTTATGCTATAGTCACTACACTGCAGTAATTGTTGCTTAATTTCTCCATTGCTCTGGGTTTCTGTTCATTCCTACACAGAAGCAGCATCCAGGAGCCACTATTGAATTTCTGGAGTGAAGTTACCCCTGAAGTTTCCTCCCTATACAACTTTGGTAATCAGCACCACAAGCCAATACTGCACCCATTACAATCAGTGGCCAATATACCTTCCTGTCTCTAAGAAAAATTACACTGGAACTTTTAATAGGAAATTACAAAATGGATTACCTTTTTACTATAAACTTCTTTGTCTGTTTACCTGGAAGCAAAATAATATTAATGTTACAATGGCAAAACAAAATCTATAATTCCAATGTATCTGTCAAATGAGCTCTGAAGCAATGACAGCAAGGTGCAAAATTTCTGTGGGCTAAGCAGGAAAGAAAGGATCCCATCCTGATTTCAGTTACACCAGTGTCTTTTATGAGCATTTCCAGAAAATTATGGAGCCATCTAAGTATAAAGAGAGAGCCAACAGGATGAGCCAGCCCTGCAAGAAGTGAGGGCGCAGGTTCTTTGCACAGGCTGCCTCCTGTGCATCCCCCCCAGCTCATCCTCCCTGGCCCCTGATGCTGCCACAGCCCTGGAGAAAGGACAGAAACTCCCACAAAATGAGCACAGCCCTGGCTGCAGGGCCATGGCAGAATTCCCAGAACAACCAGGGACTCAGCAGGACATTAGAATCATTCAGCTCAGGATACTCACGTTTCCAAACCAACAAGCCCAGAAGGATGGACCCTGCTACGACACAGGCAATGACAATGGCAGAGCTGGGAAACTGGAAGGGAGAAGAGAGAGGCTGAAAAGGCTTTGGGAGCACATTTACTTCAGAGATACTTGCACAGGAGGGGCTGCACAGGTGCTCAGAGCACTGGGCTGCAGTTTGCAATGCTGTTCTGAGCTTGCCTGTACAAAGTGCTGAGATGAGACATCATGATAAACAACATTAATTACCCTTCAGTATTTAATAAACCTTATTCTGAAATACTGAAACCAGATTCAGCCAATTTAGCATGAACTTCTCAATAAGGTGCCCAAAGAGGTAGGAACTCAGTCACTCCCATCCTTCTCTTAGAGTCAGGGGGAGGTGTAACAGCCTCCTAACTTGCCTTTTACTTCAAGGATGTTACCTTCCCTATCCCACCTCCCCTGTCTCACAGGGAATCAGTTTTTTCTGAGGTGTCCAAGTCAGATGAAATGCTCAGACTTTGGCTCTAGCCACTGAAAAGAGGAACAGGTGGTTCCTGAGCTTCTAAATAAAAGTTCAAGCCACTGTTTGCAAAAGCTCTCTCTGTAGTAGGAATACACTGAAAATCACTTGCATGTCCTGCTGTCCTGATTTCTACTCAAACACTCTTGAAACTTACAGGAAGTTTTGCCTCATCTCCTCTATCTTCATATTTCCCAGCATTGCCATCTGAATTTGCTGAAAGCTCTGAAAATGAAAGAGATTGAAATGATTACTGGCACAGCCACCTGAAAGAGGGAGAGCTACAGTGGCCGTCAGTGCTTCATGTGAGGAGTAATGAACTCTCAGGGAATGAGAAGGGCAAAAGCACCTTGCATCCAAAAGAAAAGGATCAGTTTCCACCACAAATGGTGGCTGAGGAAGCCGTGGGAAACCTCAGCCTTCATCAAGAAAGAGGAAAACCCAGAGACACCTTCACTGTCCCAGGTTGCTCCAAGTCCCATCCAGCCTGGCTTTGGGCATTTCCAGGGATGGGGCAGCCACAACTTCTCTGGACAATCTGTGCCAGGGCCTCCCCACCCTCACAGGGAAGAATTTTTCGTAATATCCAATCTAAACCTACCCTCAGCCAGTTTGAAGCCATTCCCCCTTCTCCTGTCACTACATATTCTTGTAAATAGTGTCTCTCCAAGTTTTAATCATATTGCTATTTTTCTTTTATTTTTTTTTTAACTTCTCAGAGTATGTTACGTCATCCATAACCAAATCTGCCCCAACTATCTCAGTTCTGACCAGCCCCCTGTGGGAGCTGTGTTGATGTGTCTCCACATCCCATGTGCTTGTATTTTATCAAAGACATAGCTCTGACTAGAACTAGGAGACCAAATACAACATGTCATCCTTGAATTTTAGCATTAAGTTCTCTGTTGGGGGCACAACACATGGGGAAGATTTAAAATGGAAATCTCAATGAACTCATAGTGATGACAAATCAGATATCTGAGAATTCAGCCATGTTGAAATGTTCGGTTTTTGACTTCTCTCAGACCTGAGATATCTGACAGTCATGAGTTGGTCAAAACCAACTTCCTTTGGAGGTATAAAACCATGTTTTTCTCACCTGTTGTTACATTGTGATTTCAAACAATTTCTGTGTGGATCCCTGATACTGCCAGCTGCAATGAATAATCATCAGAACCTGTTTGGTGTACTCTCAAGAATACTCAACAGTTTTGTTGATGCCAACTTTTTAATTTCTCTGAACAAGCAAACTTCTGATCTTGTAATGTTATCCTACTCACCCCTGACTGACAGCTCTTCCATCAGGACAGAGGTGGTTTCCTCTGCAGCTGGAAGTGTATGGGGCAATTCAGTGGTCACTGAAACAAAGTAAAAAGTAATGCTTATAAAAATCGCTGATTAGAAGGGTCTCCACATGGCATTCAAATCTGTGCAGACATCAATCTGTGGAAATGAAGTCAGTAATGTGGATGAAGTAGCAACCCACAAATGGTTTGATTACAGATCACTCTGATCACTAATAACAGCAGTAGCCTTCATATGAGATGAGAATGTAAATACTCAATTTTAACTTTGAATTGTCACTATTTCTCAAGCAAAACATACTCTAAACTTTTCACCAGGCAATTTCAATTGTCTTTCCCAAATCAAAGAAAAAGAAATTAGTGCACAGTTCAGTGAATCTCTCTTACCCCACTTCAGGTGCTGTGCTTTGCATTTATTCCTGTTGTACTTCAGGAGGTTTCTGCCACATTATTTCTCCATGTTAAAGCAATGCTGCAGGAAGCCTGACCCTCTGCTGCCTTGGCTGTTCACCCCAATTTTGCATCATCTACAACATCTGACCTGTGTTTGCCTAAACCCCCTGAAACACACCCATAGGCATCTCAGAGAGAACTTCCCAGATATAAATATAAGTATTGGAGAGTCTCTATGATGGCAGCCAGGCTAACACAGACCATCTCTGCTACACAGAAAAAGGGAAGGATTGGTGCTGTTACCCTCTGTGCTTCCAGGGAGCGTGGAGCAGAACATGTCATCTTCAGTTGTCACATCAGCTGCTTGGGAAGTGGTTGGAAAATCTGGGGGAGCACTCGTTTCCATCACAGTCTCAGTAAAAATATCATTTTCTGTCCCAACAGCAATGGCTGGGGGAGCAGAGGTGTCCCCTGTAGTTACTGCTGGAGACTGGGGGGCTGTGGTTGCTGGTGGAAGGGGGCTGGTTGTCAGCAGCACTGTGGTCTCTGGTGTTGTCTGGAGATCAGAGGTGGCTTGAGGAGCAGAAGTTGTTCCTGTAAAATATTTGAAGAAAACGGGAGCTTCTGTAGTGGTGGTGCTGGTGGTGGTGGTGCTGGTGGTCACTGGAGGGGCTGCACGGAAAAAACACAGCCAAGGGAAAAACCAGGTCAGAGCATTCACAACCAACCCTGAGGGAAGCCAATGCAGAAATGAATAAAAATTATCTGGCTGCTAGAATACTGAAAATGAAGGTGGGAGAGTTACTGTTTTAATTAGCTGAAAGCACGACCAGTCCACGAAATTCACAGATTTATAGATTTGCTTTGCTTTTACCAAGCAGCCCCTCCTTGACCATCTTGCAGAAATGGAAGGGCCAGAACCTTGTGTAGTAAAACCCCAAAACTTTGTTATTTTGCTTTTCAATGTCCTCATAAAAATAAATAAAACAGCTCCATTTTGCAGCTACAATCTTCTTGTTAATTTTTGCAACTGGTTCTTTTTTTCATGGTCTGTTGCCCTCAGCCTCAGGGGCAGACAATCAATTGCAGCATTTTTTACACTTTCTCCTGTTGTATTGTTTAAAAAAGACAAACAAATGTGCTGCGAACACCAATCCCCACTCTGTAAAACCAAAAAATAAATATTTTTCTGCTTTGTGGAAGGTGGGTATCATCTCAATTTTTTTTTCTGTGCAAGAATTTGCTTTATCCTGCAGCTCAGAAAAATAATAGGAAGGGGAAGAAGCCCTTCAGGATTCTGAGACAATATTTCCAAATATATGGATGTTGAGGACCCACCCTTAAGGGGAAGGAAGCACTCTTAAGGGTGGATCATCCTAATGTGTTTCCTTAGAACATGAATGAAACGAAAGTCTTAAGGTGTTGGGGTAAACCTCAAATGAAAAACCCGAATTTCATTCCAAGTGCTCTTTAAATTACAAATCCCTTTTTAATTCCATTATCTTTTAAAAAGTCAAGCTGAGCTACACAGAGAGAAATGAAATATTCATTTGAAAGTCAAAAAAAAAGGTTAAAATTTAGGGAGTTGTTTTAATTTAAACTGTGCATTGACTGTGACTCCAAAAAAAGCCTGGATGTGGCACTTGGTGCCATGGTTTAGTTGAGGTGTCAGGGAACGGGTTGGACTTGATGATCTTGAAGGTCTCTTCCAACCCTGTGATTCTGTGTGAATTCTGTGATTCTGTGATCTCCCTTGAAAAATACATAATTTGGGAAAAACACGTCACGTTTTGATACTGGCGCAATGTTAGTGCTCTTATGAAAATACTTTTTTTTTTGTGTTTGCTGTGAGATGTGACTAGGAATAGAGTAAAGTAGGCTCTAACTTAGGAATAAAGAAGAGAAAACTTTATTAACTTACAACTATATGTAAAAAGAAACACAAACAAAGAATGAAAAACTTCTAAAAACCTTTTTTTCTTCTTACTAAATTTTTAATACATCTATCTTTTAGATTACAAATTCTTAGTCTATCACTACTTTTTAGATAATCAATTCTCAGTTTATTAAGGAGTGAGGAGTCTTTCTTGTGTTACAGGCTTCTTTTGGAAACACAGTTGAGACTTCTTGTGTTTCTTGTCACACATGGCACTGCTTGGAGATTATTTGCTATCGTGACATCTTTCTATGCTTAGTGCTTTCACTACTGTGCATGGACTAGAGCTGCTTCTAGGGTTTTCCTTTTAAGGGTGCTTTGTTTAGTTCTAAAAAGAGCACAGTCTCTCACTTTCGGGACACCTGTCTCTTTTAAATTTCACTTCACGGGGCTGAGGGGTTTTAAGAACAGAGATCTTCTTTGGCCAAAACAACCAACAAAAGCGCACATAGACCCCAAATTTCAGTACCTAAGGAATGGATTGTCCCTGCTGGCCACGTCCCCAAGGTCCCCAGACCCACCTCTGGCCACCAGCAGCTGGATGTTGCGCTTGATGTCGTTGAAGAGGCCGGGGATCTCCACGCGGCAGCAGTACAGGCCCGCATCCTGCGCCTGGGCCGCCCCAATGGTGAGGGACACGTCTCCATAGTCAACATACCCGCGCAGGCTGTACCTCTGAGACACCCTGAACGTCACCTTGGGGCCACTGGTGTGCAGGATTGTGTTGGAGCACTTGGAGTTGGGGCAGCGGCCTCTGCCCCAGCACACGTCGGAGATGTCCTTGCGCCGTGCCACGTGGTAGGAGCAGGGCAGGGTCACAGGCTGTCCCTCTGTCCCTCTGACCACCCTGTCACACACCATGGGGGCTGCCAGGGAGAGCAAGGAGAGGGGATGTCAGTCTCTGATGGTGACTCTGCCTACGCAACACAGGGAGGGAACAACTGTGGTGGTGTTCACAGAGGTCCCAGGATGAGGGAAGAGACGAGAATATTGACTCCATGTTTCAGAAGGCTGGTTTATTGTCTCATAATATATGTTATATTAAAAGAAAATGATATATTAAAACTATACTAAAAGAATAGAAGAAAGGATTTCATCAGAAGGCTACCAAGGAATAGAAAGGAATGGAATGACAACAAAATCTTGTGACTGACCAGAGTCTGAGACAGCTGGACTGCAATTGGCCATTAATTAAAAACAACAACATTAGGCAAATCAAAGATGCACCTGTTGCATTCCACAACAGCAGATAATTATTGTTTACATTTCATTTCTGAGGCCTCTTGGGAGAAAAAATCCTGGCAAAGGAATTTTTCATAAAATATGTCTGTAACAAACAACCAAACCCTCCTGCCTGCAAGCCAGAGCTGCTGATCCCCAAGGCTTCTCCTGCAGCTCATGCCCCGAGGCACTACAGGCAGCATCCAGGAGCTCTCAGGTTTACTCTGCTCTTTGCTCTGATCCTGGCCAGGTGCTGGAGAGAAGCTCATAAAATACATCAGATATGGGGTGAGCAAAGCTGGGGTCTGTCACTGGCAGCCCAAGCACAAACTGGACCTCTGCAAATGGAATTTGAGAGCTCTGCTCCCATCCCATCTCCTCTCCTAGGAAGCTGATTGAAAGTTGTTCAGAACCCTGTTGTGAAAGACATCTGGTTTTCTCAGCCCACCATCACCTCCTTCAAAAAGGAAATGCTGTTGCAGTTGCCTTTCACTGACAGTCTCAAAAGCAGGATCCAAAACACCTATTCATGTGTGAAATTAGGGCCTAATTAAACTGGCACAGCAGTGGCATCTGTCTGTAGGAACCTGTTCTCAGAAAGTGCACTGAGCAAGCCCTGCCAACCAATCCCACTCACCTTGTGGAACTCTGTCTACAGAGAAGCTTTAATTGTTGGTGTTATGCTGATTTTAAAAAGAGCCCATACACACTTTCCTTGTCCTCTTACTCTTAGTGACCAGCTTAGGTTGGTGTTTGCAGCCAATGCCCACCTTGGCATCTGGTCTGAATATCTGCAATATGTTATTCCCTCTTAACTGTTTATGATGGTCTAGATAGCCTTAAAAGAGATTTCTTCTTCACAAAAGGCACTACACAAAAAAGTTCCCAGACAGGAACAAATCTTTCCTGGTTTACACCCACCTGCTCTGTGTCAGCCCTCCCACCTTTCTCTTGCCCCCATGTTACGATTTACACACTGTGGAGCAGGAACTGAAGGGCTTGGGAGCAACCAGACCGGTCCTCCAGCCCTGCAGATCTGATGTCTCACGGCCAGCTTGCTCACCCCAAAGAGGACTTGCTGCTGCTGCTGCTGCTTTTATCACCAGCTTCAGCCCTGGTTTGCCAAACATTTCTATTTTGCCAGCTGTTTGAATGCCTTTCCTTTTTGGCACAACTCCCAGGTAGCAAACAGATGCTTCCAACTGTGTCCATGTCCCTTTTGTTTTCTCTTTAATGGACTATTCCCTAGGTGAGGCTTTAGTCTGTGGCAGGCTGCCTCATGACTTGTTATTGGGATGACTTTTCAGATCCATTATTGTTCATCCCACTGGCAAGAGAAGCCAACCTGTTCAGGTTTCCACAGCTCCAAATGCTGGAAGAATAGAGGCAGACAAAACAACAGGCAATATGGCCTGAAGGGCAGGAGCTTCTGCAGAGAAATGAAGGCAGGAGATGCCAGAAACTGAATTCCTGAATACAGGATAAGGCTTTGAGAGATGGTGGCTGTGGCCCCTGGAAATGGAAGGTTCATTTGCCTTGAAACAGCAAAACAGAGAAAACAGCTTCTCTCTATGGAGACAGAACCAAACATGCAGTTGACCTTGAAACTATTTCTGTGAGAGGAAGGGGTTAGTCATGAGCAGGTTAACACATACTTTCAAGAAGGTCCATCAAAGATGTGTGCAAAAGCAGCTAAAACTGTTGCTAGAATTCAGGTCGCTGCTTCTTGAGGAGAAATGGGCTCATCTTCTGTTCTTTCAGCCCATTTCTGCACAGCACAAAAGCAGCCTCATTAAGCAATCCTTTAACAAATGAAAATTTGCCTGCTCTTCTCTTTGGAAGAAGCAGAGCCCTGAACTTAGTAAATAAATAAGTAAATAATTTGAAAGAAGAAGAGGAAAGACACGAGGCATCAGAGTGTCTTCAGTGCAGTTTCCCTCTAGTATTCCTGTTAGAAAGTTACAGGTTTTGCAGTTTCAAATCCTCTCTCAGTTTCTGTGAAACTAATGTTGCCAACATCTGCCTGCACTGCAGGCTGCTGAGCAGAGCTTCGATACTGCAGCAGCCTGGGTAGAACAGCATGAACCCTTATTTAATAAGGATTAAATAACTTACTTCTCAGGTGCAGCCTCTTCTACAGACTCATTTTCCAAAGGAAACAGTAAATAGGAGGGAATTAACACGTCTTTGAAATTAGGAGCTTCCTGAGACCCTGCTCTTCCTGTGAAGGGGTTCCTGCCCCTCTCCATGGCCCCAGCCTTCCAGGCATCCAGGTTTGACCCAAGGCTGCTCCCACTGAATTCTGTGAGCTTTGTCTCTCTTAGGTTCTTCATCAGTGAGAGAGAAATGGACTCCAGATGTTTAATATCCCACCCAAAATAGAAAGGGGTATTCATAATTGGTCAGATCATACAGGTATGCTCATATTTGTGTTCATTCTCTCTCAAACCCACCCTCAGGGGCAGCTGGCATTAGCAGTAATTCCCATAGTTGCCCTTGTAGCTGTCTTCTTTCCCACAAACTGGTCATTGAATGGACAAAAACATTCATCCTCCAGCCCAAACAGATGTTGGAGAAGAATTTTTTCCCCTTGATCTATTCCTGGAATAATTTTCCTACTTTGCTGAAGATATTTGGAATCTTTGCCCTATCAATCCTTTTTATTTTTTTTTCCTTACTGAAGCTTCTTTACTGATGAGATTGCAGAGGGTATGACTGATAAACAGAAAAGAAGCATTTAACTATCTATTGAACCTCAAGACAACACATTCTCAGCATGGAGCTGAGCTAAAGAGCAGATAACAAAAAAGCCATTCTCATCCTTCAGGAGCTCTGCAAGGGAAAAGAACAAAGGAACTAACACAGGGGAAAGTGCATACATTTTTAAAAGTGAAAAAAACACAAACTTCAAGCAGTATTAACGCTGTAAACAAGAACATTTTTGAAGTTCTATATACAATTATGATCTTTTTCACTGTTTTGTTTTCACAAAACAAGTGTTGCTGGTTTTCATTTGAAAGCAACGTTTATTTCCTGAGTAAACACACAAAAAGCAGGTGAAGACTCACCTATAAAGATCTGTATCACCATCCAGTAAAACAGCACAAAATGGGACATTCTGGCTGATGGAGACACCCGGGCAGTGAGTGGAAGAGTCGGAAAACCAGATCTTATCCTTTCCTGAGCCTGAGTGAGTCTCACTGCAGTCTCATTTCTCCATTTCCAGATCTGACATGCTGAGAGTGTTTCCGGATAGGAACTGGCCAAAGGGGGAGCCCTGCTGTGCTCAGGGCTCTGCAGCCCCACTTGGGGCACTGGGGGCAGCTCTGGGCCACACCATTTAAGGACATTCAGGTACTGCAATACACAACCAGAGCACACAGTCCCAAGCTGCATCAAGGGAAATATAGGTTAGATAGCAGGGAAAAGTTTTTATGTAAAGAGTGATAAAGTTCTGGAATGGCTGCCCAGGGAAGGGGTGGAGTCACCATCCCTGGGTGTGTTTAAAACAGGACTGGATGTGGCCCTGGGTGCCAGGGTTGAGTTGCGGTGTTGGGGCTGGGTTGGACTTTATGGTCTTTAAGGTCTCTTCCAACCCAGTGATTCTGTGATTCTGTGAATTCTGTGAATGTGCTCAGACGAGGCCAACGGAGCAGGTGGCAGGGGCTGGAATGAACGTCCTGTGAGGAGCAGCTGAGAACTCCAGGACTGCAGAAAAGGGGGCTGAGAGGAGCTCAGAGTTCTCTGCACCTTCCTGAGGAGGGGACATGGACAGGGAAATGCTGATCTCTCCCCCCTGGTAGCCACTGACAGACACATGAGGATGATTACAAGCTCCTGGGGATGATTCCAAGCTCACCAAGGGGGTTTACATAGGACATTGGGAAGTATTTAACGAGAGGGCAGTAAACCCTGGAACAGGCTGTCCTTTTCAACTTTTCTCTTCCAGGACACTCAAGCATGGTACTATCACCAGAAATTTCAATATTCTATATGCTTTGCCATTCCTTGGAACTCTTTAAGCCCAGTTCTGTTCCAGAGTCCTGAGTGGCAAGAACAAATTCTGTGCTTTTACACCCCTAAACATTTGGTGTAGTCTCCCCTCAGACTGTGTATTCACTTACATTTTCTTAATCTCTCATTTCCCATGCTTCTGCCTTCTGCCTGAAGACCCCTCTCTTTCCCCAGCTTCATTTTCTGTTTGCAAAGACAGCCTTGGAGGAAGTTGTTGCAAATGTTTTGTTGCCAAAACCACATCCTTCCCAAAGAAATGCAACATCATCTTCAAGAAATACATTTCACTCCTTCTGACTGTTTTATTTCTTTCTGACCAATTGACAAATAAGTTCTCTGGAAGTTCTTTGGAGCAGCCAAGTAATAAAGCAAAAGTAATTCAGGGCAGTAAGGTCAGGAATGAAGAATTGCAGATAGACAAAATTCTGTGCAAATAAATGTAGCACAGTGCAGACGAGTGCAATTCCAAGTTCAAATGATAAAATGATGGGCTGTTAACCAGGCATTACACTTTTAGTAATGAGATTTTGGGCTTATCATGATAGTCAAACCCATGAAAATATCACCCTTCTGCTTGCTAGCACTGAAAAAAGCAAATAAAATGTTAGCAGTAAAGGCAATGAGTAAAATACCTAATTTGCTATATTCTACCAGGTACAGTTCACACAATGGCCCAGCCCCAGCTGCTCTGTGAGCAGAACTAATGAAAGCTGAGCTATCGAATATCCTGGAGACTTTTTCCCTGCAATGACCATGGTTTGTCCCATTACTGACCACCCAGCAATGGCTGTGAGCTGATGCTCAGCTGATGCCAGTGCAGGGAGCAGCTGAATCTCACCTGGAGCACAAAGCTGGGTCATTATTCAGCCAGAAATTCCTATAAAGCTTGTTCAGACAGAATGGACAGAATGTCACAGGCAACCAGGAAAGGCGCAGGATGAACACAGCATCCTTTCAGCTCTGTTTCTATAGCAAGGCTGGGCCAACAGCAGAGTGCATGGAAAAAGGACACCCAAAATCCAAGTGTGCTGGGAAGAGCCACAAACACATGGGGCACTTTCTGCTTTTGTACTGCTATCTAGGGGCTCCTTGCAGGCAGAAAAGGCAGAGGTGTCTCAAAAAAGAGTTTTCAGCTCATCAGCTCACTGTGCTGCCAGACAATCTCCTGATGGCTGAATGGCTGCCAAGCCATTTACCTGCTTGTGTCTGAGGCTCTTTTTGAAATGCCTGATCCAAATCCACTGACACAAGTGCAGGTAGGAAAAGCCCAGGGAGCTTCTGCCTTTGTGGAATGTATTACACTGCATGCCCAAGGCAAAAGTTCTTGCTCCACACCACCTTTGCAAAGTTTGTTTACCAAGCAGTTGCAGAGCAGAAAGACTTTGCTTGATTCAAGATTTTGGTTATCAGACACTCTGGAACTTTATTTTAGGTGAAAAACTTGCTTATGCAAGAATTAGTCTGAATTAGTCTGTAATATTAATATAAAAAATCCTTACAAACAAGCATCTTTTATGATTAGGAGTCTTAAGGCTGGCCCACAAACTCCTTAAGGGTATGAACAGTTGAAATCAGATGATTTTGGAGATCCCACATGTCTAACTCTGACCCAGTAGAGACTAATTACATAAAACTGTGGAAAGCAGAAACTGCTGAAGATGTTTCCTGAGAGCCAGTTCAGAGACCAGATCAGACTTCCTCGAGCAGCAACATGCTAAGCCAGGCAGAAGGAAAGCATGACCTGCAGCAGGGGCAGAGATTTGGGGTCAGTAATTGTTATTAATAGTCAAATGCAAAAATATAGTCTGATATCAGCAGGATTCAGTACCTTCTTACACAAAGCTACACATGATGTGAAGACAGAAAATGGCAGAGCTGGTTTTGTCCCTCACTTTTCCTGATCTCTAGAGATGTGTGAAGGCAAGGCCGACTTCCAGCTAATATTTTGTGCAATGTCCATGATTTCTCTGCAAGCTAAGAAAATGGCTTCATTAACTTTACAAAGGTAGGGGGGAAGGTTGTTCAGAATTTTTAGAAACTTTGAAGTGAGACTTTCCACCCCAGGGGCTTCTCAGGGTAAAGATGTGCCTGAGAAGAAAGCCACAGAAAAACAGGGATGTCCTTTGCCAAAAAAATCTCACACTTAGTCATAATTCTCTCACAGCACAGAAGCTGTGACAGTTCTGCCCATTGAGGTTCTGATGCTGTAGGCTTCAAGGATATCCCTTGGGGGTGAGCAGCCACAGGTCCTCCAGATTTAATTCCAGGTGGACAGACATTAATATATTGCATTCCTGAGCTGCTACCAGAACAGGCCATACCTGATTGCAATGAAAATACAACAATAAGTGTGTATTAAATTACTAATACCACAAAGATTGGCCATGTGACCTCTTTGTCACACAGCTCTGAGATTGCTTCTGCCCTCTGATGGCACAGACTCTGTGGAAGGTGGCAGATAGAATCCACAGTGAACACAACTGTGCCCTTTTGGCACTTCCTCTTTTTTTTTTTCCAACAAGGAAGCGAGAATTTGAAGCAGATAATAAATATAATCATAACTTTCTTTAGGAAATGGAAAGTTCCACCAATGACAGTTTTGGTTTCTGTCTCTGGAACAGGCTGATAAAGATTTTAATTTAAAGTGTAGCTTTTATTTGTTTTATTATTAGGATGTGGATAATGCTTCAGTAGTGCAGTCACGCTCAGCTGTTGAGCAGAGGGAGCAGCCAACATTTTGCAAACTGTTTAATGTCCCAGCAATGACAAAGGCAGCCATGCATCCAGTCCTTAGTCCATGATATAAACATTTTCTTCAGCAGGATTCTCCTCTTCCAGGGCACTATGGCTTCCCATACCTCGTGGCCTCTGAAATGCAACAAGGCTGCACAAAAGAGTAAAAAACTACGGTGTTAAAGCCAAAACAGACAATAAAACCACAGAGAGACAGATCAACAAGCTCACTAGAATCTGTAAAATATGCTTTAACATGTGATCATGACTGATAATGAATCATCTTTCCACTTATGAGACAATTGACACCTGAGGTTAGCAAGCTCTGTAATGTGAACTGACAGTGACACTTATTTTTGATTTTTAATTAGCAAAAAATAGCAGAAGTTATTAGTTTCTTTTTATAATATTTTCTATTAACTTGAGGTTAAAAAAGAAAGCCAAAATATTTGGTGGGAATGGCCAGCACACCAACATTTTTTTTCTGAAACCTCATTTGTCCTTCTAGCAAAAGCAGAAACAGAAAACTTACCCTGCAGAACCACCCATCTTCTTGATGTTGTAAAAATATCCTAAGGACCATTCAGAATGAAAAGAAAGAAAGAAAAAAAATTAATTTTGTTTAAACCATTTGAAGCAAGTAAAGTAATCAGTTCAAAGATAAATTGATGTCACAGACATCTTTTTATAAAAATCTTTTCTTTAGGATTTTTCCTTCTGGGAAGCTGAGGCCCCAGAAAAAGAATGTAAACAATAGTTATCTGCTGCTGTGGAATGCAACAAGTGTACTTGTGATTGGCTCGTGTTAGATGTGTACAATTAAGAGCTAGTCAAAGACCGAGCACTCTCTGGGACAGAATCAGAGATAGCTCCTTTGTTTATTCATTCTTTTTCTATTCTTAGCTTAGCTAACTTCTGAGAACTTCTTCTTTATTCTTTTAGTATTGTTATAATGTAATATATATATCATAAAACAATAAATCAAGCCTTCTGAACATGAAGTCAAGATTCTCGCCTCTCTCTTCACCGTGAAGACCCTTACAAGCCCTGTAACAAATTCGTGTGTAAGAAACTAAATAAGGGAACTTCAAAAATGTTTTCAGGATAGGAAATTCCCATTGTGAGCAGCCACAGCTCAGGGGCCTCCCGGGATCTCAGCTCCCTGCCCTGAGGTGAGAGATGTGACATCAGCCCCAGCTGGGGCTGGGCAAACCTCAATAATCCTTGAGTCACTGCCTATGGAAAGTACTCACGTTTAGAGAGGAGCAGAGCCAGAATCAGGATGAGCAGCAGTGCTGCACATGAGCCAATCCCAATGTAGAGCCCATGCTCTGGGTGCTGCTCTCTGGGAAGTGACACAGACGTGTTCTGTCAAACACAAGCCAAGGAGCATTAGAGGGACCAACAGCAAGAAGCTCATGCAGCACCCAAAGGCCTTCTGTGTGTTTTGCACCTCTGCAGGAAAAGCACACCTGAGACCAAAACCTAATGTGAGAAATGGGCCCAGTTTTAAGCAGAATTTCCACAACAATTGTGTGAACTGTGCTGTTAAACACAGGCTTGGAGATTTTCAGAAGACATGAATTATGCCAAATCCCATTTATTCAGGTTTCATAGTATTTGGTGATTTTTTTTTAATGAGTAAGATGTCTCATGATGTCACTCACACCCTCCCAGCTGTGCTGCAGGGCTCAGCAGGACACACAGAGCTGCCTGTTTGACCCCTCTGCACGGGGAGGGCAGGCCAGCCCTGTGCTCTCAGGTAGCCCAAGCTCCACTCCTGCCCATGTCCTGCCATACCTGCAGGTTTGCAGCCACATCCAGGCAGTCTGAGGGGCCTGAGCAGGGAGTAGAGGCCTGAAAAGAAATAGAAATGTTGCTAAAGCTCTTCCCTCTCTAGAAGGAAGTACTTTATGCATGCTAAGCAGGGTATTTTTCCCCCCCTCTACTAATGAGCACATAAGCACTCTTTATAACCACTAAACACGCAGACTACCAAACAATATTCTGTTGCAATCAGACAAAAGCAGCAGAAGTGACCTGTTGGGATGACCCAGTAATCTCTCAAGTCCCTCCACTCTGTCTAGGTGTGCTGCAGCAAGGCTGATGCTTACAGTCTGAGGAGCTTCTGAAGCAGAAACCGGTGGCCAGGTCCTTGTGACAGTGAAGGAGGATTCCCTGGTGCTGCCAGGACCTGAGCAAAAGCAAGACAAACACATCACTTGCACAGAAAACTGCTCTGCCTCAACAGGGAAGAATTTGTACAGCTCACATGGGACCCTGAACTACTGTGTGTATCAGCAGTCTGGGCTCTGCTTATCATAAGAGGTTGCCTTCAGAGGGCAGCACAAAACTCTGAATATTGAAGTTTATGCTGTTCTTTTCAGAGCTTTGAACTCCTTCTTGGAAATACCTGACTCACTGTTATCTCAAGGGAAGGAGTTACCAGTCAGCTCTGGAGCCAAGAAACAGATCATAAAGCAGATTGGGATAAAAGGAATTTAAAGCCCATATCATCCCCTGCCATGGGCAGGGACACCTTCCACTAGACCAGGTTTCTCAATAGCCCATCCAACCTGGCCTTGAAGCAAAAAATGATGCATAAAGCAAACTTAGGTTATCAGCTGCAAACTGATGAAGATTATCTCAGGACCTTGAAGCAGCACATGATGCAGAGTCACAGCAAGCAGGTGATACTCTAATAGCCCCAGGCAGCTCTACAGTAAACAGACTGAGCAAAATGTGATATATTTGCATAAGGACCTGCAGCACATTTTGAGGTAATTTCCCAGAGCACAGCTGTTCACCACATTTAAAATTAAAAGCTACAAATTTCTGTCTTATCTATCATCAGACTCAGTTTCTCCTTGTGTTGTCAGATGACATAAAAACCTCCTGAACACAAAATCTCCTGATCCCTCTGTGCCAACCCCAGCTGGTTGCTTCTGTGTTTTAAATTCTTATGCTTATCCCAGAAGCTTTATTTTGAAGAGGAAAGGACCATCAGCTTCCACTGGAGATTCTAGAGTATTTCTAAATCAGAGGCACATGGCCACCTGCCTTTTCCCATCTCTTCAGTGTGAACATGCACACACTACCTTTATTCTGAAAACTTCAAACATTGTTCCACCACCAGCTAAGGAAGAGGTCACAGGGATAAGAAAATCCCTGAGTTCTAAGATTGTAATCAATGTTATTTGCAACTAGAATGGAAACTGTCTGAGAAAGTTTTCACTTCTTCTTCCAAAAAGGAAATGCAACTGTTGTGACACTAATTTGGAGTTGCTTAGCTGAAAACATCCAAAATAGAGGGAGAAATACAAATGGCATCCCTGATTCTTTGGGTTTTTTTCAGAATCCAGAGAATAAACCATTGCTACACCACGAGGTTTCTCTTGTGTAGTGGAAATTAAAGTTGTCTTTTTCAGACTGGAAAGATGCAGCTGAGAGGGTTCATGATGGAAGTTTATCCTTTCGTGAAGAGAATGGAGAAAACAGGTGAGGGATAGCTGAGCACTGTCTCTTCCCCTGTAATGAGGGACCTCACATTATTAAATGTGCACAGAGGCTGTGGGCAGCCTCAGGGACACACCTTACAACCAGGTGGAATAATAATTTGGCACTGTATCACAAAATTAATGTCATTTTTCTACCATCCTCCTTAATCATCTGCTGCTGACTGCTACAGGAGGCAGGAGCCTTAATTTGATGTTCTTTTGAGCTAGTCCAATGAAACAGTTCTGATTAAATAGTGGGTACACCCAACTCCTAAAAGTTGTGTTTTACCATTCATGGGATGCATTTCTAGAAGATGAGGTGAGGTTTTATACCACAAAAAAACCCAACAAACAAAAAAAACAATCAAATAAAAGCAAACCTTGCAGCACCACTAAAACATCTACCTAAACATCACACCTGGAAGCAGCTTCCTCCCAAATATACATGTTCCTTCTGTATAATATCAAGCAGAATTTAAATCCAAGTTCTGATATTTGGTAATGTTTAATAAATTTAAGTCAAATATTTCTATCATCTATGATTTTTTTTTCCTTCCTAAGATTCCCCATTTGCAATATGGCTTGTATATGATATTAACACTTGGATAAAAATTACCTGAGGTCTGTTCAGAGGTGTAAGTGTGAGGACTTGCAGTAGAGATCCTTGCTGATGTTAACATATAAAACAAAATTAACACATAATTAACCTTATTGGGCATTTGTGTATTGAGAAAAAGACAGTGTTTCCATAATAAAAAAATTTGCTAGCAAAGCACAAGTACATTTGTCAGCCACTTGTTCTATATAGTATCACAAGCAAGGGAAAAACTAAAAATCAAAGGAAGAATGGATAAAAGGCTTCTCTATACCAATTTTGCATCCCTGGGCTTTAATCTGGAATGAAGCAAGGAAAATCAAACACAGCTTTCAATGACAAAGGTGCAGCAATAAAGATTTAGATGAATACGTTATGCTGCCCTTCCTTTTAAATTCTTTGGTGTCTCTAAGAATGCTCCATGAAAGCATCATGTCCTTTTTTACCTGCAGTGACTGCAGTGGGCTAACAACATTGCCAAAGTTAGCTTAGTTGAAGCAGCACTAACAGCAGCAGATGGGCAAGGTCCTCAAGATCAGTCTTATGGATGACTGCAGAAATCATTTCCACCACAAGCTTTCAAGTCCAGACCCAGGAGCAGATCCACCACAGGGGTTCTCACAAGAGCACTGCTCTGCACTCACCTTTCCTCACCACAACCTTGTGATTAATCAGTTGATCATTGAACCACCCTGGGATCTCCACACGGCAGCAGTAGGTCCCAGAGTCTGATTCCCTGGCGTTCACGATTGTCAGGGACACGTCCCCACTGTGCAGGTCCCCTTTCAGCTGGTACCTGCTGCTGTGCCGCTCTGTCACCCTCCAGCCATCTGTCCAGATAATGGGCCAGGAACACTTTGAATTGGGGCAGCTGCCCCGGCCCCAGCACATGGATGTGATGCTGTCTCTGTTCCAGACACTGTAGCGGCAGGGCACAGTGATGTCCTGCCCCACCTCTCCTATCACAATTGATTCTGATACTGTGGAGCCTGTGGACAGAAAGACAAAGGGTTATAGAGCACAGGGCACGTGGAAGCTTCTTGTGCATCTTGCATGTCTGAAACATCCCATCTCCCAAAGAACACCAGGCTTTGCTGGATCGGATTTTGCACAAATAGATATTTGTGTCCTGGCAGGACTGGTGCAGTGAGGGATAACGATCAGGCCAGGGACACGTTCAGAGAAATACCATTTTCTGCAGCCTCTGCACATAGGCAATGAGATGAAGAAACTCTGTGCCTTCTCCTGAGCTAGGTGCAGTCTCTTGGCTCTTAACTTTTTCCTTTGTGTGCATTTAACCCAAGCCACACACACAAGGGAACAGTGGGACATTTACTTTTCTCAAAACCACTGTGGGAAACTCTTCCCTCCTTTCAATGAAGTGAACTGCAGGTTTCATCTGAATGATCACTGCTGAATGAATTTTCTTTTCTCTTGCCTCAAGGCAGGTTTTGCCAATTCTTATTACAAGAAATGTTTCAGGGCTTTTTAGAGGAATATTATATATACTCTCTTTTTTTGTTTCACTACCTTATTCCTTCTTCTAAGTCTCATGTAATTTTTAACTTGTTTGCTTCCCCATAAATTTGTCACGTTTCCTCGAGGCTGTCACGCTACTCAGGTCAAGACAGTGAGCCCTAACACCCAGTAGATCATTCATGACAGCAAAAAAACACACTAGAAACAAGTCTCTAAAACCAGCTTATCTTTAATATGAAAAGGAAGCTCAAAATGTAACTCATCATAAAAGGCTTTATAAAAAACTACAAGAAATATCTGTAAAACCCCTTTTCTTTCTACTGAGTTTATCTTGCCACCAAGTTTTTATGTCTGTCTGTCTTTATTATTAGCACTTTGCAACCTGTTGTTTTCATTGCTGTTGCCATTAACAATCTAGGAATTCTCCCTCAGGATTAAAAAAAAAAAAAAAAAAAAGGAAAAATTCTCAAATTGTCCCAATAATATTTCATATCGCTAAGAAACACCAGAAGCCACAGTTGATCTTTTCCTTGTCTGCCTAAGCATTCATCTTCACAAAGCCTGCAAAAGTAAAATGTCTTTGTTTTACATCTTCTCTAAAACAATTTGAAGTTCTCTGCTCAAATCATCGTCTAAAAAAGCCCATTAGCAAGAAGCAGCATCTTTAAAACCACCATACCCTCGGCATGTTTCTGTTTCACAAAGGAGAAAAGGTCATTAGAACTCTACTGAGCCATCACGAAGATCTATTTTAACACAGAACTGCAGCCCCCGTGATGTGGCCACTCTTCCTGCTGCAAGACAAAATTCTCTTTGCCACCCTCAGAATCCCTGATGTGTGTCACCTCCACCCACCTCCCCCCAGCTGTTTGTGCCCCTTGGTTACCTGTGAGCCGCACCAGGAGAAGCCAGGTCAGGCAGATGTGAGACAACATTCTGGCTGAAGGTGACAAACAACGCTCCTGTTCACGCTTCTCATCCAAGAAAAATTATCTTCTTTGTGAACTTCTGTGGTTCCTTCTTAGCACACCATCTCCAGAGAGAGCTGTGGTGCCTCTCAGCCCACTCTGAGCTGTTTTGGCTGCACTGTGTGCTGCTGGGGCAGGGTACAAGTGCACTGAGCTCCTGCTGGCGGGGCTTTGACTGAGAGGTGACACCACAGCACCACACAAATCTGCTTCTCGTTTTTGCCAGATCTGTTTGATGACTGTAAGTGAAACTTGCCAGCAGCACTGAGCTGAGTGTCAGCAATCCACTGCCCCAGACTGCTTCCCACACCTGCTTTTGCCACAGCAGACAGGCTTTGGATAGAAGATTACATAATGCACAGCAGACTGTGGGAAGTGGAAAGGGCTTGGCCAAGTAACAGAGTTGTAGGATGCACTATTCAAGCTTTTCATCGTAAGTTTCTGGTTCTAATACTCAGAAGAAACTCAGAGCATCTTCTGGCAAATTTTAATTGCCAGTAATAATTTGGTGGTTTTGGAAAACTGTTACACAGCTAAGTCTAATGAAGTGCCAGTCTTTTTTCATATTTAAAAATGCCATGTGCATCTGCATAAACATCCAGAATAGAGAGGAGACTTGAAAAAGTAATGTGGAAACTGAATCAAGGCTCACTCTGAAAAAATGCTGAAATACAGCTTTTGAGAAATGCTGTCCCCTGGCCACTCTCCCTGTGCCTGGATCACCACCCTCTCCTCAAGGATATCTTGTATTTTTATGTTGTTTGGGCTAGAATTGCACCTGAGATCAAGAGCCGAGAAAAGTTCTTTGCTGAAGCAGCTAAACTACTGCACAGTGTTTTATACAGGTGAATTTAAATACTGAGGACTTATTTATGAGTAAGTGGAAGATGCTAAAATTGGAACCTTGCCTTTCATTACTACCTTATAGGAGAGCAGAAGCACCAAACTGACGGGTGTTTTAAGTGAAAATCAGGAAAACCAAGGGATTAATGTAGCTGAGAGATAAACTGGCAACACACTTGAAAACAAGAAGTGATGGAAAGAGGGATGAAGGGTGAATTTGCATGCAGCAGCTGGTAAGAGAAGGCTTCCTCTCCGTTCCTGTGGTTTCTGAGGAAACTGCAGAGAGCTCCTAGAGGAACAATTCTGGTAATTACCAGCAGGATCCTGAAACTGCTCTGCAAAAATGGGAAAGGCAGGGCAGGCTGGCAATGCCAGGATCCCAGGAAAGCCATTTGGGTCACAGAATAAAAGGATGTGAGAGCTACAGGACAACAGTTAACCCATTGCTTTAGATTTCACCTCAGACACAGACCATAAGGAATGCCTTGATGTAATCTGAGTTTCTGTCTGTCTGTTTTCCAAGTTCCTGTGTGTTGTTTGTGCAAGAAACAAACACCATTTCTGTAGGAATTTCTTCTTGACTCAGAATTACAGAATGGCATACTCAAAACAAGCAGCAAGTGACAAATGAAAGTACAACACAAAAAAACAACTTTAATCTGTGCCTACCATCTCACATGATACATTTAACAAAAGTTAGATTTTTTCATTTTTACCAAAAAAACCACAAACCTTTAAACATTTTCATCTGCCCAGTCACTCACAACCTCCAACAGGTGCACAACAAATGCTTTGTCTGCTTGTACAACAGCAAAACAAAACACAACGTGTATCCTCAGAACCCCTCCTGTCTCTCACTGCGGTGCAGTAACAAAACCAGCTGTTTGCTTCATGTCATTTCATCAATAATGCTGCACATTGCTGCATCCTTGTCCAAAACCTGATCTCTCTTGCCCCCAGAACGCTCCCTCTGCTTTTCGCTCTGCCCAGCGCAGCTGCTGCCATCATCAGCATCCGTGGGCTCCACGCTGACCCTCAGCCCCCCCTCTGTGTGAGGCAGGTCATCGGGCAGGGACGCCAGGCAGTTCTGGATCATCTCCACCACTCTCTCCAGGTGCTTCTGGAAGCGCTCGGCCGTCTCCAGGCGCTGCCGTTTCTGCACCTCCATCATCACCCTCAGCGTCTCCCTGGCCTGGTGGGGCCGGTACTCGTTTATCAGGTGATGCACGTGGACAAAAAGCAGCTTCAAGTCTTCCAGCTTCTCCTCTCGCTTTATACTCCCTGGACTCCTTATCAAGATGTCCAAGAGGTCCAGGAAGTTGACCAGGATAGACATGTTAAGTTTCCTTAGCTCCTTCTTGTGGTCAAACTGCATAGGATGCAGCCGCTCAATGCCCTGGCTCTCCAGGGGCCGAATGATCAGATCATCACACTGGAACTGGTTCCCAAACATCATGTAGCTGTCCTTGACAGGCGGAGGGGGCTTTGGAGCCAGCCCTTTACGGATATTTTCATCAGTGTATTCTTTGATATATTGCATTGGAGGCGGAGGGAGGGCGCTCACTTGCTGAGGTTCACCCATTTTTGTCAGATGAAATTCCTAGGGAATGACCCAAGAAAAAAATCTTAATAATTTGTGTCACAAGATTATGATATAAATGTAAACAAAGAAAAAATATGGGAGGTGGCAGTGAGTAAATGAACCAGAAGAGACAAATCCATGCACAGGAAACTCATGGCAAATCCACATTACCTTTTCACTAAGGTTTAATTACAGCAAGATTAACTGTACTAGAAGCACGCAGAACACTCATTTCTCTAAATATGAAAGACCAACCTGTAAACCAGGCAGCCAAAGGCAGAGGGGTGATCCCCTTCCCTAGATGGGGCCTGGTGGGCAAACCCCCCCAGAATCACAGAATATCCCAAGCTGGAAGGAATACACAAGGATTTGCACAGGCCCTGCACAGGACACGCCAGTAATTCCCTCACCGTGCCTGAGATCGTGTCCCAAAGGCTTCTTGAACTCTCCAGGCTTGGGGCTGTGACAAGGAGAGCCTGGGGAACCTATTCAGTGCCCAATTACCTTCTGGAGAAAGAACCTTTTCCTAGAATCCACCTAGCCCTCCCCTGGTACAGCTCCAGCCGTTCCCTCGGCCCTGTCGCCGGTCACAGAGGGCAGACAGGCGCTGCCCCTCGGGGGGAAGCTGCAGTGAGATTCCCCCCTCAGTGTGCCCTTCTCCAGGCTGACCAGACCAAGCATCCTCAGCCGTTCCTCGCGCGGCCTCCCCTCTTCACCCGCGCCCACGAGAGAAACTAAGCAGGGCCCACACCCGCCGCCCTGCGCCGAGCCGGGCTCTGAGGAGGCACAAACCCCGCGGCGGGGCTCGCCAAGTCAGAGCGGAAGAGACAAGAGCCGAAACCACATCCTGGCGGAGGGCACGGACCCCTCACCGGCCCTCACCTGCCCGCTCCGCCCGCCGCGCTCCCTCAGCGCCGCCGCGGCCGCTTCCGCCCGGCCGCCCTCTGCTCTCGCTCGCTATTGGTTGGCGGCTTCGTGGTGCCGCACTCTGATTGGCTGTCGCGCAGAGCAGTCAGGCACTCCTCCGCTTAGCTCGTTCGGGGGCGGGGCCACGCGTGGGGCGTGGCTTCCATCATGGCTGGGCCGGGGCTGCTCCGTCCTGGGGCCGCGGGGACCCTTCAGGGTTTTGTGGCTCTTCAGGGTTCTGTGATCTCTCAGGGTTTTCTGGCCCCTCAGCGGTCCATGGCCCCTCAGGGTGCGGGGTTCCCTCACCACAAGCCGCTGTGAGGCGGCAGGACCTGCCGGGGGCTGGAGGGACCAGCCCGGCGTTCCTCAGCGGAGAGGGGACAGCGCTCGTCAGGGAAACAGAGCATCACAGAAAGCACAGAAATCGCAGCAATCACAGAAATCACAAAATCAATTAGGTTGGAAAAGACCTCTGAAGTCCCCCTGGGAAGTGTTAGCAGCTTCCCGGCAGCAGAATACACTAAATCTGACCGTAACTGTGACACACAGTTGGGCTCCGTTGCTTTTCTTTCCGTTTTCTTCTCGGGGGAGTTGAAATTAACATGGGGGATGTGAGTTTTTCACCGGGTCAGGTGGAGCTGGGCTTGCTGGCATCGCTTCTGCAGGATTTTCTCTCCGAATGGCCAACAAGGAGGATTTTTCGACACTTGGCCGACTCTGTGCCGTTCTCTCTCAGCAGATGGCAGCAATGGCCTTGGTGACAGGGACCCATCGCCGCACACGCGGTGTCATTCACAGATTCACTCTTCCAGATCGATCATTTGCTAAAAAAAAAAATCAATCGAATGATAATTACTTTGGATCCTGTTAATTATTTCTAAGAACATGCAAAGAAGATCCAGAATTGTTGTATTTATTTGATGAGAAAGCCTGAAATTATGCAGAATATCTGAATATTCATATATTCCAAACTAAGCTACACTTTACAATTTACAATGAGTTGAATATTTAAATATTCCAAACTGAACTACACTTTACAATTTACAATGAGTTGAATATTTAAATATTCCAAATTGAACTACTCTTTACAATTAACAGTGAGTACAAGCCTGGCTGCAAAATAGGCTGATTTGTTTTCATTTGTAAGCAATTTGCTGAATTCTGACAAGGATGCAGTTCCATGCTGCAATTAAAACGTTACTGCTTTGGAGAAGGTGATTTTATTCCTTCACCCCTGTTTCTGCTTCCTCATCCCTCTCTCCTTTCTTCCCTCCCTGCTCCTCTAGCCCCTCACTGGCTGTGCAGCCTTTTCTTGTCACTGCTTGTGTCACCACCGTCGGGCACTGATTGCAAAGTAAACTGATGCAGCCCCAAACCCCATAAAAGCATCACTGCAGGCTTTTTTTTTAAAGTTTTCAGCTTTTCTAATGAGTTAACACACTGTGCTGTGTGCCCTGTGAGCATCAGGAAGAGCTTTTGAGAGGAGTGTGCATAGGCAGAAGGAAAGGAGAAGGTTGGGAACATGGGGTGGGGAATTGTCCTCTTCATTTCTGTGACAGAAACCTCTTATCTTGTCTCAAATCATCTTGTTACATCATACCCTGAAAGACAGGCAAGGAATAAAATCATCGCCTCCAGAGATGTGTGAGATAACACGTGTAGTAGTAGGAGGTACCAGCACACCTTTGGTTTTATTGGACTTTCCAGACTTTGATTTCACATTCATTTTACAGGAGCTGAGCTTGATTCTCTAGTGCCTGGCCCTCAGTGAAGCATGCAGCAAGGATGTAAAATGCTGCGACTTCAAACAGGAGCAGGCAGAGAGAGCCAAGCTCTTGTTTTTTCCTCGATCTCTGTGATCTCCTTGACTCATTTTCTCTGTGATGGTGGCCAAGACAGAGGGGATATAACATCAGTCTTGTTCTTGGTGGCAGGGCTGCTTCTCAGAAGACCCCTGGATGACCCTTCCCAGCCCACAGGGAGCTGCTGACATTGCTCCTTACAGTGCTTCTAAATGACAAATTAAGAGTGATGGGGAATGTCAAGTGTAGCACTCTTGCTACACAGTTTGCTTCCTGCTCCATTCCAGCTCTTTTCTGGAATAAGGGCACCATCCAGTACAAGGCTACCACTGGTAATGAGGCACAATTCCTGCATCATTGTGGGAATGAGCCTGGGCACCCCTTCAACAGATGGTGAAGCAGTACCATGATATTCTCTGCCTCAAAAGCTCAACATCTTAATTTACAGCTTTGGTTAAGTTTATTTTCATTTTCTTCATAACTAATTTTATGCAAATTGGCATGTTTCAGTAGCAAGCACTCCAGTTCTGTTAATTCAGCAGCAGTGTATACAGTGTGTGCCATTGCAGTATGCTGTTATTTTAGCAGAACTGGAATCCAAACATTGTACAAGCACAGTAAATATAAACCCCATTTTCAAGCATGCTCATAGAACAGTGCTGCTCTCTTCTGTGCTACAACAGATTTCTTTCATTTCTTGCTGCTATTGCACTCTAAATAATAAATAAATAAATAAATAAATAAATAAATAAATGTGCATGTGTTTTTCTCATGTTGTCTGAAAAACAACCCCAAAGTCAAACTCAGTTCCAATCTCTTGTTGGGCGTAGGTTAGGCTTGTATCTTACAGCCTGGTTAAGCAATGAGCTCAGGAATTTCCTTTTTTGGTGATTGTTACAGGCTTTGTTGCAGGATATACCAGGGAGGAGGGCAAGAGAAAAGGAGCCTGTTGGGGATGAAGGAGACTAAACCAAGCTTTATGTCTCCATCTGCTGTGGTTAATTCCCATCTCCCTGTCTCCTGCTGTGGCTTTGGGAGTGAATGCATTTGCAGAGCAGTGCTGTGCAACCTTTTCTTCCTGACTCCTCAGACTAAAATATCAGCTGCAGCCTATTGGCACACCTGCTAATGTAGGAGAGGAGTTTAATGTTCCCATCACGTGAAAACTGGGGCACAACACAGTGCAGTGCATGACAGCTGAACTGTTTCTTGCTCTACAGCCTATTATCAAACAGATTCAAAGCTCAAAACAGAGCTTTCATGGTTATTTAGCAACAAAACAAGTATCTCACTACTATTTGGAAAGTGGGGCAAAATCCAGGCATGTTTTGATGGAATCACCCAGCACTCCTTCCTGTGTTCATAGTCATGGTATTGTCTCTGGAAGCAGCCCCCCAGCCTGATTTTGAAGCTAGACATTAATGCTGGGTGTTTTCTTGCTCACATGCCCTTTGTAACTGCTTATTCAAACATGTACATGAACATGTCTCAAAAAAATGCATCTGCATGTAGAAGTAATTCCTGTCCAGCCGTCAGTGACCTGGGTATGGCAAACATGTCATGTTGCCAGGTTCAACCCCAGCAGTGCAAGTCCCACCTTTGTCTTCAGAGGGAGGCAGAAACAGACAGGACCCACGACAGCCAGGCACTGATAAAAGGAGCTGGAACAAAATCCCGGTTTGGGTATGACCCCCATGAAACAGGGTTTACCTTTCTGTATTTCAGCTGAGGAAAGGATTAATTGTCCCTTCAGAAGAGCCTGTCCTAACCCTGTGCAAGTTCTCCAGTATAAAACATGTTCTCTATGTTATTGCCAGTCCTGGGAGTTACTTCACAAATGATGGATAATTCACTACATCCTCCCATCAGATGCTCAAACAAGGCATCCCCTTTCCCAGGGCTCCCAAACAGTTCATAGGAGGATCTTCCTCTGCTTCTACAACTCCCTGGGTCACTGGGAGCAGTGTGAGGGGATTCAAAGGTGCAGTTGTAAGACCTCGAGGAAAGCTGGATGCAGCTGGCTCCTAAAGACCAGGCTAATTCTTCCCGTTTTCTGCAGTTTTCTGTTGTGTGCTTTGGGTCTATTGGAGCCGTGTTTATTGGGGTGATAATGAACTGCTAAAGCAGGACAGCTGAGTGACCTAAACATGAGCTTCTCACACTCTAAGCTAATTAGCAAAATGGGTTGAATTATGGAAGTTTGGCAGCTGAGTGATAATCATCATATTAAGCAGCTGGTGTAAGGAAGAGCTGGCACCCAGGCAGCAAACCTGACCCAAATATTGCACATGATAGAAGGATATAGGTCAATTTATGGGAGTGAAGAGAGCTGCACCCTTCCAGACTGTTTTTTATACAGAAACAAAAATTACCTATATTTAACTTCATAAATTTCTCTGCCGCCTTCAGGACATAAACCTTGGTATCAGAGCAGGATGTGCGGGTGGGGAGATTTTCAGTCTGCAGTAATCAAAGTGAGAACTGCATAATCTGGGTAAAACCCCCATGAAAAAATCCAATCCATAAAATAACTTTTTTTCTTTTTTTGATCAGAAATAAAGCAGTTTGCAGGAGGTAGGAAGGAAAAAAACAAAGGTGATTGAAAGAAATAAAGTCCACTGAGGCTACAGATGATAATAAGAACTTTATCTACAGCCTCAACTTGCTCAGCACAGAGGAGTATGTAGAGCACATAGCAGCTCAAACTTCAATCTGAATCATTTAAAATATTTCACATTTTCCTGTCAAAGGATACATGGTAGCATGCTTCATAAAAGCACTGAAGCAGAGGAGATGTAGGATACCTAAAAAATTCATCACTCCTCATAATGAAGTTTAGTTTTACAGTGGTTTTAAGATATTCAGGACCCTTATATTTAATTCTACAAAGGATACAGAATTTCTGTACTTTGCAATATCAAGTGCTGCCAAAATTCTTGAAAGGAGCATTCAGTGTAAAAGTGTACCATCCTATGAGGTCAGGTTCCAGAAATTAGGTTCTTGTGTTACTGGGGTATTCCAG